ATTGTTCTACATATTATTGTTATACACTGTAGTATAAAGCACTTATAGTTGTTGTATCTTCTGTTTATATATGTATGTGTGTATGTCTATATATAGTTTTCTATACATTAAGTATTATATAATGTAGTATATGTATTTTTAATGGTATTTTCCATTTTGATATATATTGTTATTATGGAATATTGTATACATACATTCATTTTTACATCTGTAGTATAAAGCACATATTTTAACATCCTTCTTATTTTCTTTTTTCTTATAATTTTAAGTTTAGTTAACTTTAGTAACTGTAACCCAATTTCCTCCCAGGGATCAGTTAAGTTTTTCTGATGCTGATCTATATAATCACTGATGTTTCCGTCCCAGTTAAGCGACCTCGTCCGGCCTCCAGAGAAGTTTGTGTTTATTAAGTTCAGATGGAAAAATCTCGCCTCTTTTTTTGTTTTTTTAGATCTTCTCCCTATTTAGACAGCTGTCTTTTTCTAAATCTGTCCATCCTCCGTCTGAGCGTCCAGCGCGCCAGCTCACATCACTTCAAAAGGTAGACACAAGTATGTCACACACACACACACACACACACACACACACACTTTAACCACGTGATGTAGTCAGAGAAACATGAACTCTCTTCAGTCTGATTCCCTGAAATTTAGTGACATGAGCTTTGAGTCTTGTGGAAATACTGAGATCTGTGTGCAAGGAGAGAGAGAGAGAGTAAGGGAAGGACTAGATAAGGAAAGTTTGACATTAAAACTCTCTTAAATTGCCTTTTCTAAACACTCCAATAAGCATCGACGCAGCCAGGATTATAGAAGGTCATGAGGGTGTGTTTACTCGCCCTTCATTCTTGTTGTACATGCTCCCAAATAACCTCCATAAAATGTAGAATTAAAGCTGCAAACAGTGATGAACGGGAAGATTACATGTGACAGCCAAACAAAGCCTACTTCCTGTTTCCAGTAGGTGGTGCTATAACATGTCAATGTTTTCAGGCCGAGACTCCATCAAACATGAAGTTTAGAAATTATGAGATAAAAAAGTTAAAATGATAACATTCATTTGGTTTCTGTAGTGGAGACTAAACGTTAACAATGATCCATATCAGCAGTTTGAATCCAACTAAAAGCTCCCTGCACCAAACTCCCTTTAAGAAATATCACATTTTAACAATTCCTAACGTGTTCGTAACAACACGTAACTCTAGAAACACGAGCTAAAGGCCGTCATATGTCCACAGTCTGACTGTCAATACAGGATCAATATCATCCATACAGATACAGTGTATACTGATCAATATCATCCATAAAGATACAGTGTATACTGATCAATATCATCCATAAAGATACAGTGTATACTGATCAATATCATCTATAAAGATACAGTGTATACTGATCAATATCATCTATAAAGATACAGTGTATACTGATCAATATCATCCATAAAGATACCACATTAACAACCCTGTTTTCTTACGGTAATATAACACACAGATTATTGAGCTGTACTTTCACTGAGTTTAGCAGGTTTGTAGAGCAGAGAGGCAAACTTAGTGTGGTTAAATGTCACACACACACACACACACACACACACACACACACACACACACACACACACACACACACGCACACACACACACACACACGCACACACACGCACACACAGGTCTAGATTTGTTCCTTACGTCCGGCGGAAGTTTTACGCCTCTCCAGAAACAAACATGTTCTTGGCGTGTTCTCTCCATCGCCATGGAGACCACTGAAACCCAGACTGCCCCTGTCACCATGGACACCACACACACACACACACACACACACACACACACACACACAGACAGCTCATACTATAAATCAATAATGGACGGTCAGGTGGAGCGAGTAGAATACTAATTCTAACCATCAACACTGTATCAGTGCTCCTCTTTACTGACTAATGTTACACTGTAAAATAATACAATAGCCCAAAAGTTCTGCATTCAAATGTTACTTAAAGCCCCAAAACAGGGTCTTAAAGTCTAACTGTGTATATAGAGAAACTGTATGTATTCAGACCTGGAATAAAGTCATTGTTAGTGCCACTCTGGTCTTGGATAAATACTTTTTATTTGAACAGTATATAAAGTATATAAAACATTATTCAACCTTAATACAGCAGAAATATTAAGAAAACATTTTACTGCACAATGACGTCTTTAAGTAAATGTTACTGTAATACCTCAGTGAGTATTTGGACTGCAGTATTTTCAGTATTAGTACTTTAGTGATTGGACCTGAACACAGCCTCACACAGCTGGCTTTGACCCGCTGGAAGGCCCTTCGTCTTCTCTGGAGCCGATCCTATTTCCTCCCTTGCGAGTTAGCAACATAAACAGGCACAATGTGGATACAAGCCTTGATAACGAGGCGCGGGGCACGGAGCGAGCAAGGTGTCCAGTTTGTGAGATGAAGTACCAAAACGATTGAGGAGATGAGACTGTGCCGGGTATTTAATAGCCCCTGCCTGCAACCGTCTCACGCCATAGTTTCTTCAGGTTGGTCTGGCGAGGGCGATACCGACCAACCCAAAGGGAACTGTTCTGATTTATATACACAAACACAGTAACTATTCTCATCGACACACTTTATGTCTGACTGAAGGAACCTCTGGAGCTGCTGTTGATGTCCAGTGTGACCAGCGTCTCCTGTAGTTTAATGAGGAAATCTTTTATTTTAAGGAAACAATGAGCCAGTTTAGCACAGGGAGAACCCAACTGGTTGTGTGGGTAGTTTATTTTTTTGCTAGTATCTCATGTAAAAACAGTGTTTAAAACATGCACTCGTCCATTTGATCCTTTGTCACACTACAGACTGCTGTTGTGGTCCAGACTCATTTGAATCTCCGGGAACATCAGAGATGTGGTCGGTGACTCTGAAGTCTGGAACCAGTTTGTTTAGTTTGAGTCGTCTCACTATATGATTATACCTTTATATCCAAACCAGCACTTTTCCTTCCACTGGGGTCTGTGGTGTGTTTACTGTGACACAGTGAATCAGACAGTAGCAGCCTGAAACAGGAAGTCAAGTCAGCATGACTTCACACAGACTACACAGCAGTGACGAGAGGAGGAACAAGTATTCAGATACTAAAGTGAAAGTACTACAAGAACAATGTACTTTAATGTACAATATGTCATTTCTGCCTGAAGATAAAGTTTTTATGAAGCAGCGTGGGATCATGGGAGTTGTTGTCTTCACCACCATTGGCGTCATTGCAGTCAGCTTCTCCCGGTTAGGATTCCTTCAGTGTTCATGGTTCAGGAGGTTTCTACCGGGAGCCCAATGATCCACAGAGGTCTCCTCCTCTCCAACACAAACAGACCCGCTGATTAAAACCACTAAACACACTGAATAAAGCAGTTCCACCTTAAACACACTGAATAAAGCAGTTCCACCTTAAACACACTGAATAAAGCAGTTCCACCTTAACAATCACTGCTTCTCCCACGCTGTTGGACAGACAAAGGACGTCCCGGAGGGGCTGCGAGCCGAGCTGCTGCTAACGTTAGCTCAGCTTGTTTCTCTGATAACTTAAGATCCAGACGTCCGATGACTAAAATCCTTCATCCGGTTCAAATCTAGAGTTAAAAAGCACCAAGATCTAAACAGTGGATGGTAATAATGTGGCTTCACACTGGATCAACAGTCAGTGATTATTGATTATTGATTGAATCAGCTCCAGAGTTTATACACTGTTTAATGAGGAAGTGTTACAGATTATAGATTGAAGTGCAGTAAAATGTTGCTGTCAGTGTTTTACTGGATTCATATTAAAGCTGCATTAATGTGAATGTTGTCCTGTAAAGAAAAACAGGCTGTTCTCTTTATGACGATGCATCTTCTAGATAATCCAGGAGGGTTTTTAAATACTTTGAGTTTAAGAAGTAGGAGAATTTAAAGGAACAAAAAGTACTAAATATACTGAGGTGCAGTGCTGCGTAAAACGGAAATATTGAAGTACAGTGCGAGTCCCTCGGTGTGTTCTCTCAGGAGATTGTGGTTTACAACAAAAAACCCACAAACTTCCGCATCTTTGAAGCATGCCACTTCTCTTTTCTGGAGACGCTACCAGGAGTTTGTATTCTGGTAAAATGATTCTTTCTGTAAAAGACGAAGGGACAAGTGACCTGTGAGATCAGACTGATTGTAGTATATAGCATTATATATATAATAAATATATATACTCTAAATGGAGTGGAAACTGCAATATGGTCAATGACAAATAAATATATGTATGTTTCTGATGTATGTTCTTAGCTAACATATATACACCTTACCTGTCCTTACCTGTGTCCATTTGTTGTTGGCTGGGTCACGTGATCAACATATCCACTCAGATAGTATTTTGCTATCGAGATTTGCTATCGCTGAATAACGTTGGCGGACACATACTGCCGTTATTCATGGCGGCTGGGTTGCAGCTGGCGGGCTAACCTCCGCGGTCAGGTGTTGATTTTAGCCAACTTAAATAATGTAATGATATTAGCTGTTAGCTGGCTAACAATGGCTCCCTAACGCAGATGGATTACGAGCTAATGAAGCAAAATACTGAAACTGGAACTCAAGTTCAAAGCGGGAAGTCTTTCTGGACTCTGATTGGTTGTTACCGTTATCATTTCACAGATTATCTGTCTGACGTTCTGACGTCAGGAGAAAGAGAAAGAGGACAAAAAGTTGTTTTTCTAAAAGTTTCAACAGGTTAAAGAACAGAATGGAAAACTGAGGAAACATGTTTGTTTTGTTTTCTTAAAGGGAGGCCTGTGTGCGCGCGCAACTCATAGGCTCACACGTGCACGCTCCCTATATGTCACGCCTTGGCTGCAGCTGTTGTGTGTGTGTGTGTGTGTGTGTGTGTGTGTGTGTGTGTGTGTGTGTGTGTGTGTAGCGCTGCGGCAGTTTTTCTGTCTTGAAGCTGTCTGTCAGCCCTTATCAACACCTCGACTCACTTCCTGGTTCTTAATACCGGAGTCTTCGTTACTCACAGGCAGAGGGAGGGAGCAGAGAGAGAGACACTGTACACCTTTCTGTCTCAGTGTGTGTGCACGGTAACCTCCTGTAACACACACACACTCACACACACACACACACACGGAGGGTTGCTGATATTTCCTGCTGGAACAATCCGCTGTTTTGGGACTACTTTGCGCGGTTGTGAGCGCTGCGGAGGTTTCGTGCAGCCCGCAGACATGCAGCCCAACCCGGCAGTGAGTGTGTGAGCTGCTGCAGGTTGAGTGTGAAGTTTGGACTCCAGCTGCTGCATGTGAGGAGGAAACTTTCTGACACACACACACACAGAGGAAGAGAGAGAGGAAGAGGAGAAGAAAGTTTGTACCTGTTCGGTGTTTTCTTGTTGTTGGTGGTGAAGCAGCTGCAGGATGTCTGACTCTGCCTCCAGTTTCCTTCACATCGGGGATATCGTGTCCCTGTACGCCGAGGGGACAGTGAACGGCTTCATCAGCACCCTGGGGTGAGTCCACTGTCTCTGACACACACCTGATCACCTGCAGCTCCGCTTTTACTCAGAGTCCTTCACCTTTTCTGCCCCTTTATACTTCAACTGCCCCACAGTACTGCACTACACTGTAAAAAACAAAGGTTAGTTTTATGGTTAAAAAACTGTCAGCTGTGGTAAAAGGATGTTAGTGCTGCTGATTTCATGATTAAAGTTTTACTGCATAAAACACCATATGAACCTGAATCTGTATTCAAATATTAGTTATGGTGGTTTTCTGTAAATTTACAGTCTTTATTCCATAATAAACCCTTTAAAACGCATCAGACAAGATTACATTTTTGTACATTGAATTAAAATCATTATAACAGATAATAAACATGTAAGAACTATTTAAAAAGTCATTAGACTTCTGTGACCCAGTGCAGGGGCCCGAGCCCTATGTTGGGAACTTGAAATCGACTGATACACTTTATCAGATTCTGATTACTAGTAATAAAGGAAACCAATAACAGATATTTACAGTAAAAATTAAAATCTTAGTGTCGACATTTCTAATAACCATCAGTGGAGTGTAACTAAGTACTTGAAGCTTGATACTTTCACTCTTTTATCATTTAATCAACTGCTTTTATTGTAAAACTTCTTTTGCAGATTCACTTTATTTGTTTATGATTGATAGTTTATTCACCATATTTTGTATATTTGCTATTACTATGAATATTATTTGGTATAAATTACAAAAATCAAGTTCAAATGTAGCAAACATGAAATGGAAATGTTAATGAATACGTCCACGACTATAAAATATAACACAATAATGCAAATTTACATTATTAATATAAAGTATAAAGTAATATTACTGTATTATAACCTTTATCAGACAGAGCTGTGGACAGTGACACTACTGAGGCGGCTGTAGTGTATTATTATAATCATTTATGTTATTGGCAATCAGATACAGGATCTGATAATGATCCAGGCTGATAATCGATCTGTTCCTGATACATTTATCTGACAGCTACAGTTACTGATCAGATCAAGATTTTATATTAAAACACTTTTAATATCTGTTGTTGAATTCTGTTCAGTTTGTGTTCACACTGACAAACTAGAGCCGACCCATATGGGATGTTTGAGGCCGTTATTGATTTTAGAAGGGAAACATTTACTAATTGCTGATATAGTGGATCTCTGTGCTGAAATAAACCTTTTCTCTGTTGATTGTTCCAAAATGACGACGCAAAGATTTAAAGAATATTTAAAGTCCAGATGAAATAAAAAGATTAATTTTAATCCTTTAAGATCTCATCCTGAGTTATATTGTTACCCTGTTTAACAATGAACGACAAAAACTTTTTACTAAAACAACAACAGAACAACTTGTAGCGACACAGAGCTCACTGATTACTGTACAAACACACAACTTTATCAGTGATTTGGGTGAAACTGGATCATATTTAATTTAGAGAATATCGTCTGGTTTCCCCTCTGACGTCCTCCGGCTAACTGCTAATGTAGCTGAGCCTTACGAGTCCTGCAAAGTCCTGAATTCTACATCGGGGCCACAGAGGGGATCTAACACTCACTCCGCTCTCTGCCTGACCGAACTCGTCTACTTACAGCAGGTTGATGCCTGAAAAGCTTCAGTTTAAAGAGGTTACAGCGCCACCAGTTACAGCTGCAATGTCCATTACAAGTGTTGGACAGAACAAACATCCTGATGACCGGATCAACGGTGTAAAGGTTGTCCTGAGGGTGGCGCTAGAGGAAAGGCTCTGGGGAGCAGGATTGTCCTCAACAAACAAGGCATTAACATTAAGGGTCCCACGAGTCCTGGAAAACATGGAAAACCTTGAAATTTAGAGACTAACTTTACGAAAATGACCAATAATTGATGTCCTGGAAGGTTCTGATCGTAGTTAAGCTCCTGGCTCAGATCGCCTACATAAACCTGATTTGAAACCCAGCTGTTTGTTTAGCAGACGTGTAACGGAAAAACACTCCTTTTCCATTTCGGGGCCCGTATCAGTCGGTCTTCCTGTTAACACCGGCTGCGAAGGGAAACGGACTTGCAGTGATCTTTTCCGCGCGGAGGCCTACCGGTGAATTATATGACCTTTTGGGACCAACTGCTGTCCTGGAAAATGATTTCTTAAGAAGAAGCAGGACGTGTGAATTCCTCTTGTTGTGATTACATTATTGTGTCCACCCCCTGTTTGATATTCCTACATAGACTTACTGTACGGTGGTTTCTGATCTCTTTATCACAGCGTGGCTGCAGCTGGCTGTGACTCTGGGTTACTCATCATGTACTTACAGTGATTATTAGGGCCGGGCCGTCAGAACAAGAACTTGTATTGTGGTCATTTTGAAGATTCTGGCGGTTTCATATTATATGAATCTGAACACTCACTGAATTGTGAAGTTAAAAACATTGTTAATTCACAGTTGAAACCAGTTTCGTGAAAGTTCAGTTCAGACAGATTAAAATGAATAAAACAGCAGTGAGTTTGAGACTCTTTGTTCTGCCCTTTGTTAATGATTTATTGTGATCACCTTCCACTTAATGAGGCGGCTTTCCACCATTTTGCCGTCCTCTCCCTTCAGCCTGAAAATTAACGTGAATATTTTAATAATATTTGATATTTTGTTGTCCTGCAGTAGTTTAAAGTTCAGGTGAAACATCACTTTAACCCTCTGAGATCATATCCTCCGTAATATTGTTCCCATTTTTAACAATGTGTAACAGACAAATACAGAAAAACACAAAATGTGACGCGTGCTTATGTCCGCATGAACTACCTGTTTTCAATAATATCATGACATTCACTCGTCAATCAATCTTCAACTCTGGAGCTTCCAGATGGACTTGTTGCTAAAAGAAGCTAACTGTCGTTAACAGTAATGTTAGATGCTGTTAGCCAGTTAGCTCGTGCAGCTAACGTTAGCTGACTTAGCCCCGGGATGGCAGGAGCCTAACTGGACTAGAGAGACTGACACAGGATCCATTGATTATCAGTTATCGTTGTTATTAGGGAGGGAAATTGATGAGATTTTACTGATACCAATAAAATTATTGATTATGATTATCGGCGCGATTCTGTTTTGATTCCTTAATTGATTCCTGATCAGTTTTCTGTGTGGAAACAAATATGGCGACACAGGTTTTCAGTATCAACGCAACTGTTTCTTTATGAAGTGGTCGAGGCACCCACCTAGAGTCGGGGTCTGTCCGAGGTTTCTACCTCTTAAAAGGAAGTTTTTCCTCGCTGCCGTAAGCAAGTGCTTGCTCATGGTGGGAACTGTTGGGTCTCTGTAAATCATTTTTTATGTTCGGTCTAGACCTGCTCTATTTGAAATGTGTCCTGAGATAACTTTTGTTATGAATTGGTGCTATACAAGTAAAACTGAATTGAATTGAATTGAATTGAAATGAAGCCACTCTTTGGACCGTTTCTTTCTCCCCACCAGGACTCGTTCTTGTTCCACGTTTCTTGTTTGACCTCATTGTTTTTCAATGTGCAGTGAATAAAAACAGGCTGTTATTGATAAAATGAAGGTGCATAATTCCGGTGAATCGGGCAATTTGTAACCGGTTCTTGATTCACATTAGCAAGAATTCTGCATGGGTACGAATTTACTGTTAATGTTTGACTATTTTTGAGAGCGTTGCATCTTTTAGCAAATGTCCACAAAGCGGGTTTAGTGAAAACTCTGAGTCTGTTCGGCCTGAGAGGTGAGTTAGCTAACTCACATGTTCTCATTCATGTCTATGCCTCACATTCAAATATTACGCAACGTCACTTGTCAAACACGTGTAGGCAGTCAAGGCTTTTGCATTCCTGTTGCACTCAGTTGTTACCTGTCGACCACCGTAGTTGCTACCTCGGTAGCAGCTAATGAGGATTCGTACAAACAAATAAATAACATTAAAGAAACAAAGTGCAAAAATGCATCGAGTTCCAAAAGAATGGATATTTCTTTGTTTTTGGGCCAGTGGAGGTTCTCCTTCCCATAGACATCCACTAATAGTGGAAACTCTGCAATAGAGATACAGTAAACTTCTGCAGATTCCGAGGTCGAGTTTTTTGGTCTTTCATCCCGTTTCTGTGACTTCCTTCACTCGTCAGTGAATATCTGGAGCAATTTAATTGCATTCTGTAACTTTCTCTGATGTTATCCAGGGAGACTTTGTGACGATGTGCTGTGGATAATAACCTTTACCACAAACACACAGAGAGAGAAAGTTGTGGCAATGTGTAATTGTATGACAGGAAAAGGAAGTGGTACCAAGTATGTCCAAGAGAGATTTCCACTGTGCCAGTGTGTGTGTGTGTGTGTGTGTGTGTGTGTGTGTGTGCATCCTGTACTGTGGTCTTACATCCACCTTCCTGTATTTGACTCTATCTTGACCTTTAAAGCGTCTCTGTAACCTTTGGCTTCACGTGTTGACTTTCACCGCCTCCCAACAATATAAACAATAGGTCACCATTTTTAGCCCCACTAGCGTCATATGCTAACAGCTGTGAGGAAGGTGATGTCATTGGGTGAGTTCAGGTTGACACGTTGAGCCAGACTGAAATAACATCAACAGCTATTGGATGGATCATTCTTAAATTTGATATTTACTTTGCTGATAATTTTTTTATCTTTTCCTCTAGCGCCACCTATAGGTCAGAATTTACAGTGATTCCCATCAGACTGTATGTTTAGATCTGCCAGTTTGTCTCCAGTGGTCACTCACGGTACTGCAATAAAAAAACATTTTCGTTTGTCAAACTGCTGACAGGACACGTCCAACTGCAAACACGGTCGATTATTACTCCTCATATTGAGCGCTGCAGGAATGAGTCCTGAAACTTGGAACAGAGTTGGCATTTTTGCTAATGAAGTCAATGGGTTTTTGGTTAGATCCCTGAAATAAGCTTCAAAGATTTTCCCATATTGTTCTATGACTTAAAATCCTTCAGTAAATACCCTACCTATGAGTTCTGAAGCTTTTACGTGTCTTT